CTACCCAGAATCCCAAAATGTGGGTTCCAACCGGGGCCCTGAACGTCTTCCCAAATCCCCGGGATCCAGGTTCCGGCTGCGCGCCCCGCGTGCCGGGTCTAGCCCCTCGGGCGGGACCGCCCAGGCGGCCCCAAATCCAGCCTCCTGAGCCCCCAGCAGCGCCCTCCGCCCCTCCACCATCCCGTCCCGCTCGCAGTCGGGGCCAAATCGAGAGACAAGAGAGCTGTGCATCTGAAACTGAGCGGTTTCACCACTCGGCACCTCCTGGCAGAAACTTCCCTTTAAAAAAAAAAAAAAAAAGCAGCAGCACTTTTGGGCCAGCATTTCAATCCTTCCTGCCCTTTAGAGCTCCCAGTTCTGCTTCCAACTGGCTTTGGGTGTTCCACTACAATTGAGTTGTAAAGATATTAAGTGTTTTATACAACATTAAGACTTAAATAAAAATCTTTAAAATTAGAGGGAAAAAAAGCCACCTTATCGCACACATCCAGGAAACGCAGCCCGTGCATCCCTGCTCAGGGATGAGCAGGCGCCCCGAGACTCCTGGGGACAGATTTTTGGGCACCGGAGGGAATCACCGGGGCGCGCGTCGGGGTCCGCGGCGAGGCCCAGCCCCTCCCGCAGTCCCTTAGACGCGCCCTCCGCCCGGCCCGTGTGGACCGTCCCGGCCATTGTTTGCGGGGGATGCCCGTCCGGACGCATTGTTTTGGCCGTTTCCAACTTGCCCCAGCCCCTCCCGGGCATCGCGGGGGACCCCACGCCGACGTACCCTCTCCGCCCGCGCCCCAAGGGCCGAGTGGGCAAATTGGGAGACCCGCCCCGAGGGGCGACGCAACTTTTCGGAACAACCCCCTACCGCCCACCCCCGCAGCCCCCGGACCCCTGCTCCCGGCGGAGATTCTGGGGACACCGCACCCCAAGCCCTTCTGAATCGTGCGGCGTGAGTGTGACGGCCAAGAGCGGATGCAGTCCGGAATCGCCCGCACCTTCCCGCGGGCGGAAACGCCGGAGCCGGCTGGGGAGGGGGCGCCCTAGAGGAGCGGATAGAAAGCTGAGGCGGGGAACTGGGGTCATCCTGGGGGGGACAAGACAACGAGCCGGGCGCCTCGGGGGCGGCGCGGGAGCCTCCGCAGGACCGGGCGGGCGCCCCGGGGGGCGCGGGCGGGGGGCGCGCCCCCTTTACCTGCGGCTCCGGCTCCTCGGCCATTTCCTCGCGCGGCGGCGGCCGGGACTGAGCTGACACCACTCGGGCCGGCCGGGTTTGAATGAGGAGGAGCGGGCGCGGAGGGGAGGGGGCGGGGAGGGCGGAGGGAGGGAGGGAGGCGTCGCGGAGTTTCTCTCGGCCTTTTGTGCGGACACCTCCCGGATTCCCCGCCCGCACCCGGCCCCCCAAAAGACACGGGGAGCCCCTGGCGAGGGGTGCAGCCATCCGCCGGGACGCCTCGTAGCTTCGCGCTTCCAAGACCCCCCCGACAAAAAAAAGCGTCCCCCACCCCCACCCCCGCCCGTAAGATTTGGGGGCCGGGCTCACCTCGGGCGCGGGGCTAAGGTGAGCGGGGCGGGGGTGCGCACGGGGGGCAAAGGCGCGGGCGCCCCCTACTCGTCCGCGCGGGGACAGTGCAGGCACGGGGGGTCCCTAGAGCCGCCGGGGCGCGGCGCGTCCGGCGCTGGGGGACTGTTGGGTCAGAAAGTGTTCAGGGAGCAGCTGTTGCGCCCTCCCTCGGCCCCGCCGCTCGGAGACGCCCCGCCCCCTGCCTTCACCGGCCGTCCGGCCCCGCCCCGCTCCGCGCCCGGCCCCGCCCCAGTGACCACGTGAGCAGCATAGGCGCGCCCCCGCTCCGCCCCCCGCCGCGACTCCGCCTCCGGGAAGCGAGCGAGCGCGAGCGCGCGCCGTGCCACCCTCCCCGCGTCCTCCGCCCCGCACCCCTCCTCCCGCCATCCGGCTTAACGTGGCGGGCGCGCGCCGCGGCCGTAGCCGCGACAGGTACTAGGGGAGGGGGACCGCGAGGGTGTGCGCAGGCGCAGACCCGTCCCCCGTCCCCGTCGCCCCCTCCTCTGCAAGGTGTGCCCGGGCGAGGGGAGGGGCCCGGGGCCCGAACCCCTGGGTCACCCCAAATTACAAACAAAAACCTTAACGCAGTTGCGCGCGGGTTAGAAGGCAGCTGTGCGCGAAAAACACCTCAGATTTTCTTCAAGCCTGAAGAAGGTCGAGAAGATAAACAGTTTTTAAATGAGTATCTTCAGAAAGCTATTTAATTGTTCTGATTTTTTTTTTTCCTGAAAGGGCCGGGCTTGCGCTATTCTAACTTGAGATTTCTAAACTTAGTCTAGGTTCCAAGAATCTACTTGGTTTTGATAGAAATCCATTTGGAGGAAACCGGGGACAAAAAAAGTGGGGACAAAAAAAAAAAACAAAAAACGCTACCCTTTCCCCCTCCTCCCTACGCCCAACTCATTTAAAGCGTTTCCCAACTGTTTTTTTTCCTTGCTAAAAAAAGGACAAAAATAGGTTCTGATTCCCAAAGCCTGTGATATTTCCCCATTTTAAGTAAGCCTCGAGGAACCATAGACAAAACAAGCACACCCCCAACTTTTCTGCCCCAAAATGGATACTAATGCAAATGTGAAATGGATCTATGCAAGTCGCTACCAACAAAATAGCGAAATATTTATTTTTTTACTGGCCTTCGGCATATCCAAAATGAAACTTTAAAACACATCAAGAAAAGCATTTAAAATATGTATTTCCTAAATCAAAAGAAAGAACGCACTACAGAAATGATCCGGAGCTGGTGAGCAATGCAATCTTAATAAATAGGAAAAGGAATCTGAGAAGACAGCTAGCTCAGCAAAGGGGAAGAATTTGCCAAGTGTCATGTTTTGCTGTCATTTTATATATAACTACTAACCCCACATATGGTCTGGTTAGTCTTTTTTAAAAAGGAAGTGAATCAATTACTTACTCACACTTAATTAATTAGCAGTGCCAGTAGATTCTTAGGCCAGCACTAAAAACCTAAATTGGGTGATTTTTTTCACTCAAGTCCACTGATACTGATCACTTTTAGTATTAGGATTCCTTTTCTCACAAAAGATGAATACCTTTCTTTAAAATATATTTTTTAATCTTATTATCACATTCTAAAACACAGTCCAAAAACACTCTTCATAAACAAGGAACTTCATTTAACTTTATGAAAACAAATGACTATGAGCCTTGCTACACAACAAAGAAACTGAACAAGTGGAACCAGGTTGAGCCTTAAGTGTAGCCTCATTCTACATGTTAATGGATAACCTTTGAACTCTGAAATCTTGAATGCTGTAAACACAATAGCACTGATAGTTAAAAATTCCAGTGTCAAAATCGAGCATAAAGAAAAGTCCAAACTTTTCAGGGGGAATAGGGAAACAATCAAATATTTTGACAAATAATCGTTTCAGTAAGAACAAGGAGATTCCTGGCTCTCAGACCTTGTTGCTACTGAAGTATTTTCTGAGCAAAAACGGTTGTGCTTGTTTTCCCCTGTGCCCTCCAAAGCTACCACTTTGTTCACATTATAGCATCATGATTTGTTACTGTTTCGCCGCCTCCCTCAAAAAAAGAAAAAAAGTGCCTTATTATGTTGTAGCTTTTAAAATTGAAAGATGATTATATTCACTGATCTATCTTCTAAGAGTTTTATTTATATGTGATCCTCCTTATGTTTGAGCAAAGAATTACAAAGAACCTTCTCCTGGAGTCTTGCCAACAAAACTGGGAAATCGTTGCAAAATTCTGCCAGTGACTGACTGCTGGGTTGCAAATACATACTGTGTTTCCCGAAGGACATAGAGGGATCTGAATTTGCCCGGGAGGGCTTCCCTGAGACACATTCTTCCCTTAGAATGTGAGACTCATACTTCACATTTATTTGGAAAGCATGTATAGTTCAAACAATTAAAATATGGAAACTCCAAAAGTAACAGGAGAACACTGGAAACATTTGGTTTTGTAATAAAATCCAGGAACTCATATTGCACAAAGTGAAAATTGAAAATCGAACGTTGGTCTTCCTACGCTTAGCTCCACCCACAAGAAATCCAGCTTCGCCATCACTCCCTGCCTAGGCCATCTCTAAAGGAGTCAGGTGCTACTAGATGCCAGCAACAAAAACAAAGAATGGAACCCGAAGAAAAGCTCTGCATATGTTACTTGGAGAAAGGGCAGAAAAGCTCCACTTCACCTTGTTTTAATGCAGCAAACATCAGCTACACTTCATTTTTCACAATTATCCAAACAGGCCCTCCTTAAGACGTATTTCCTAGTATGCGCTTATAAAATCACACCATTATCTCTGATTTAATTCTAGTGATATAAGGCCTCTTCGTTTAGTCAACATCTGATTTTCTATCCAGATCCTGCCAGTCCCAGCATGCTCATGCTCAGAGCTAGTAACATAACAAAAAAAAAAAAAGAAGAAGAAGAAGAAAAAAAAACCCAAAACTTCTGATTTGCTGTATTTAACACTTACTGGAATCATCTGTTGAGACTCAGCCTTAATTAGAAGAACAGAATGAGGTATGATCTTCTTATTTCACAAGTCTTTATTTTACTGTGGAATTATTATAGAAAAACTATTTGGAAACTGTGTGTAAATCCCTGGAGCTGAAACAGAGCCAACATAGATACGGGACGTAAAAGAATTCAGTGTTCAGAGCAGGAAAACCTGAAAAACTGCAGCGAGGAGTTAGCAGGAAAAGAACATGAAAAAGTTAGGCAAACCTGCCAGCATCTGCAAACTACAAAGGACATTTGAGAAGGAAACAGGGACAGCCCTTTGAACAAGACTGAATCCACTGAAGTAAGTAGGAATAACAAACAGCTCGAAGGAGCAACACATTGCTCTCTTTTCTATTAAGTTTCTTGATCCCATGCAACTCTCTCCTCTGTAAAGTATCACAATAATATACAATTAAAATATATATATATGTATATATATATATATAGCAGAACTTACCTTTCAGAAGAGAAGGCAGGGTCTGGAACCTGATAACTCTCTAGGACAGGACTTCACTCTACCTGGCTCTAAACAATACTGGAAGAGATGTGATTGCTGGTTTTTATAAGCACACCAAAAAGGGAGGGGTCAAGAATAAGGCTCAATTTAAATAAAGGTTTTAGTACCCTCCCAACTTGATTGGATTAGTCAATCTTGATAAGGTTGACAGCATTTTTTAACTGGATTTGTCCCATTGGTGCGTTTGATGAGTGCCCTCCCCCACTGCAAACACAACTCATGACTCCTAATATTCTGGATCGTTTTGTGAAATTACCTTCACTCAAAATGTTAATGTAAATTCCCTTAAAAATGGCACACAAAACACAACACTGGGAACACCTCTTTAAAGTTTTCTGCCTTCATCAGATATTCCAAACGGGTAGCTTTGGAATGAGGGATGGAGGGGAAGAAGAAGGTAACTAACATTAATTGAAATTCAATCATCATTATAATCTCCAGCCAAAATCTTAAAATCTAATCAGGATATTTAATCTCCACCCTACTCCACCCTACACAGACCTTGCATCTGTCAGCAAACCCTCATATGTCTCAATTGTGTCCATTTACCTTTATCTGTAACAAAAGCCTACACCAAGGTGCCACTGGCAGGTGCCATGCACGTGAACATGGAGTCTGCTGTTGGAAATGCGTTGGGAAGGGCAAGTTCCCGGTGAGAATCATGCACATTTAGGAGTTTTCCAAATACTGATGGCATGTTGAGTCATCAGACTGGATAAAATTGCCCAAAAGAGGTGCTAGTATTGGGCCCTAGGGTGGTTCGGCGCCCGGAAGTCAAGGAGAAGAGAAAGAGAGCAAAGGGGACTGAGAAGGAGCAGGCAGTAAGGTCTGAGGGACCTCAGGAGAGCATGGGGGCCCAAATGCAAGGGAAAAAAGGGTGTCAGTGCCACCACATGTTCTCCTCCAGACACAGACAGTACTGTATGTACAGGTTTCTCCAAATTTCTTCCTTTCTAGGTTTCCCTTAATGCTTTCTCTACCTATAATCCAAGATTTTTACCCAGAAAGACCCAAGTCTTTTACCATGCATATCAAATAAGTTCACTACCCCTTAATGGCTTCCTATTGCCTTGAGGGAAGAAAAACTCCATAGCTTGCCCCACCAGCCCTGCAGATCTGGCCCCTGCCTAACTCCAGCCTCAAGTCCTGGCAAGCCCTTCACTTAGGCATCTGAACTCCAGCCTTCTCTCTGACCTAGAGCCTTCAGCCCTGGGGTTCCCCTAGCCTAGCACCCCTTTTCTCATTCTCTTCAAGAACTTGGCTTCTGTTCTTTCTGAGAGTGGTTTAAACTCCCTGGTTCTCTGGGAGGGGGAGGAGAAGGGGAGGCTCTGACATAGTGTCCTGGTTATGAACATTTTCTCTCCAATAACTTGGGCTCAGATACTCAAATTCTACCTCTGGAGAGCTGCATAGGCCTAGAATATTATTTAATCTCTCTTGGGTTTCAGTTTCCTTATCTATAAAAGGGAAATGATGAAGATGATAATTAAAATAATTGTTTGTGTTACTTATATAAGTAGTAGTCACATTTCTTCAAGACTCTGGAGAATGAAATGAGACACACTACAGAGCTTGTGAGCCCAGAGTTTTGGGGGCCCCGGCACTGTTCTGGGCATGGGAGATAGAGCAGTAAGCAAAACAAATGAATTCCTTGTCCTGTTGGGGCGTATCTTCTGGAGGGAAGCAGACAACACACCGGTAGTTATATTTGCAACCTACTGGGACTGGGTCATAGGAGAGGGGAAAAGCCTGCTGTTTTAAATGGAGGCTCCCTGAGGAGCAGAGACCCTCCAGGAAGTCAGGTGGCAAATCATACCAGGATGGAGAGGGTTCCATTCATTCAGAGGGAACAGAAGGGGAGAAGGACCAGAGAGGAAGAGAGCCAAGCTTGGAGAAAGAACTGGCGGGCAGCCAGTGTGTCTGGGGGCCATGGAATGAAGACGGGTAGGGACAGAGGAGCAAGAAATCATGGCAGGCCCATGTGAAGACCGGAGATTTGACTCTCGTTGCAGCAGGATATCAGTGACCAGTTCACTGTTCCCTGGTATTTGCCACATCTGCAACAATTGATAGAGCTCTTTCCTGCCTTGCAGTTGGATCCCCATGCTCTCCTGATCTCCATTAGTCCTCTCTGGCTGCTCCATCCCAGACCCCGTGGCTCCTTCTTTAGACTCTTCTCCTTGACTTCCAGGTGCTGACATGCCCAATGCTAGCAACACTTTCTTATTCATGTGATTTTATCCAGTCCGAAGGTTCAACATGCCATCAATATTTGGAAAGCTCCTAAATGTACATATTTCCCACCTGGAACTCTCCCCTCAACTCCCAAAACACATTTCCAGCTGCTGATTTGTCTCTGCATGCAAGGTCCCTGTGTCTACAGGGCAGAAATGTAGGCAGTCCCATTCTAAGTGGCCACAGCTGACCTTTTCAAAAGCCGTCGTCTGGTTATGTCATGCCCTCATGCGTCTTAGAATAAAAACAAAATTCCCGATAACACAGCCCTCATGCGTCTTAGAATAAAAACAAAGTCCCCGGCTGGGCGAGATGGCTTGTGAGATGGCTCACGTCTGTAATTCGTAATTCCAGCACTTTGGAAGTGTGAGGTGGGAATAGTGCTTGAGTCCAGGTGTTTGAGACCAGCCTGGGCAACATAGCGAGACCCCCCATCTACAAAAAAATAAAAAATTAGCCGTTGTGTGCCTCTACTCCCAGCTACTCAGGAGAATGAGGCAGGAGGATCACTTGAGCTAGCGAGACAGAGGCTGCAATAAGCCAAGATTGTGCCACTGTACTTTAGCCTGGGCAACAGAGTAAGATCCTGTCTCAAAAAACAACAACAAAACAAAAGTCCTGAAAACATGGCTGGCAAGAGCTGGTGGACCATGCTAAGACTCTGGGTTTTATTCCAAGAGCACTGGGAAGTCACTAAATGAAACAGAAATAAAACCAAAGGAACCATCGAACGTCAACTAAGTCTTTCTTTCCCAAGAGATACTAGTATCTCCTAAAGACCCCATCCTGGTTTAACAAAGAGGACATGACAAACTCTTAAGAAGTTGGAGTCCTGCTGGGCGCGGTGGCTCACGCCTGTAATCCCAGCACTTTGGGAGGCTAAGGCAGGTGGATCATGAGGTCAGCAGTTCAGACCAGCCTGACCAACATGGTGAAACCCTGTCTCTACTAAAAAAATACAAAGGGAGGTGGAGGTGCAGTGAGCTGAGATCACGCAACACCCTATTCTCAAAAAAAAAAAAAAAAGAGAGAAAAGTGAAAACTAAGGCTCAGGATCATTAAGTAACCTGCCTGAGGTCACACAGCTAATAATTTGTTTCCCTACTTTCCCGACTACAGTGAAGCCAATGCACCAACTGAACCCAAAGTCAGACTCCCCCTTTAACACCAACCTAAATTTCCTCAATTCTAAAAATTGACACTGATGCATATTTCTCGACCACCCCTATTTCCCAGGGCCATGTTTACACATCAGTATGTGGTGGCCCCCTGGGGCACAAAGGTTGAAATGTCCTCACCCACTGTCCCTCCCGCCTCCCCACATTCTGGAACAGCATACAGTGTTTTCACTTGGTTTGCCTGAGGGCTAGTTTCCTCACCACCTGTCAACTCCTTGAGTTCTTGGTATACCTGTGTACATGGACCCTTTCCTCACCCAGACTCTAACAGACTATAAACCTTTTTTTTTTTTTTTTTTGAGACGGAGTTTCGCTCTTACTGCCTAGGCTGGAGTGGCAAACGGCACAATCTTGCCTCACTCCGCAGCCGGGTCCATCTCCTGGGTTCCAAGCAATTCTCCTGCCTCAGCCCTCCTGAGTAGCTGGGATTACGGCGCCCCGCCAACACAGCCCGGCTAATCTTTTTGTAATTTTCAGTAGAAACAGGGTTTCGCTATGTTGGGCCCAGGCTGGTCTGGAAACTCCTAACCTCAGTGATCCGCCCTGCCCTCAGCCTCCCAAAGCGCAGGGATTACATGCGTGAGCCACCATGCCCAGCTGAAATCTCTTTTGAAAAGGAAGCCGGGCACCGTGACTCATGCCTATAATCCCAGCACTTTGGGAGGCCAAGGCGTTCACCTGAACCCGAGAGTTCAAGATCAGCCTGGGCAATATGGCGAAACCCTGTCTCTATGAAAAATTAGCTGGGCATGGTGGCTGGCACCCGTGGTCCCAGCTACTCAGGAGGCTGAGGTGGAAGGATCTCTTGATCCCAGGGAGGTCACGACTACAGTGAGCCGAGATGGCATCACTGTACTCCAGCGTGGGCCACAGACCCTGTCTCAAAAAAAAAAAAAAAAGAAAAGAAAGCGGGGAAGAAAAGGTAATACAAATTAATATACCAACAGCAATTAGTGAGTGCCTTTTCCATGGAGCTGGGAGAGAATGTTTGTAAAATTAAAATGTTCTATGCTAGATATCAACTTTCCTTCTATGCCTTCTTTATTTCACACCTCATAGCTAGTTAGTAAATCTCACAAATCCTATCCTTCTAATCTCTCTGAAATGTACCGTTTCCTTTCTATTCACACCACCCATGTTTCTTTGTTTCCTTCTGGCCTGTGTAATAATCTCATAATCGCTTCTCCTGTACCTGCCTTCTTTCTAGTCCAGAATACTTTTTCCTAAATTCCACTAATAACCATCCTGCTACTGCTTTGTGTGAAATTCTCCAAAAAAAAATTTTACTTTTCCAAAATAAGTCAAGCTCCCTCTCTTGGGATACAAGAACCACACCACGGTCCCAGCCAATCTTTCAGCCTGATTCACTCAATATATATTTATTGACCACTCCTTTCTCCCAAGCACTTAGCTAGATAGTAATTCAAGAGTGAGGCACAAAACAAATTGGATTCCTTCCCTCATGGAGCTTATATTTTAACAGAAAACATAGACATTAAATAAAGCACAAAAAAATAGAGAAGCATATAATTACAGTATCCTAGAGAATTATCACTCGTGCAGAAAGCATACACAAGGATGCAGCACCGTTTACAATAGTGAAAGGCTAGAAACAACCTACATGTTCATCAAAAGAAAATGGCCACATAAAACATACCATATCCAAATTTTAGAATATAGACAACAGGCCGGGTGCGGTGGCTCACACCGGTAATCCCAGCACTTTGGGAAGCCAAGGTGGGCGGATCATGAGGTCAGGAGTTCAAGACCAGCCATGGCCAACATGGTGAACCCCGTCTCCTCTAAAAATACAAAAAAAAATTAGCTGGGTGCGGTGGCAGGCACCTGTAATCCCAGCTACTGAGGAGACTGAGGCAGCAGAATCGCTTGAACCCGGGAGGCAGAGGTTGCGGTGAGCCAAGATCGTGCCACTGCACTCCAGCCTGGGTGACAGAGCAAGACTCCGTCTCAGAAAAATATGCATATATAATATAGACAACAGGCCGGGTGCAGTGACTCACGCCTGTAATCTCAGCACTTTGGGAGGCGGCGGTGGTCTGATCACCTGAGGTCAGATGTTTGAGACCAGCCTGGCCAACATGGTGAAACCCCGTCTCTAATAAAAATACAAAAATTAGCTGGGCGTACTGGCGTACGCCTGTAATCCCAGCTACTTGGGAGGCTGAGGCATGATAATCACTTGAACCCGGCAGGTGGAGGTTGCAGTGAGCTGAGATCACGCCACTGGGCAACAGAGAGAGACTCCCTCTCAAAAAAAATTAAAACCCCACTGTGTTAGTTACTGTGCAGCACAAAAACTTAGGAGTAAAATGTTTACTAGTTCCATATCCTGCTTTTGGATAAACATTTGATATACCATTCTATACTTACTCCTCTTTTTGCTCTATTCCAACAGCCTACACCCCTCCCCTGCCACCCAATCCCCCAACATATATGCCATATATATAAACATCAACCTGTAACCACCCTAATCAGCCTCAAGGTCACTCCAAATGCCACCTCCTTCAGTTACTCTCTCCTTTCTTCAATGCCTCCTTTATGACACTGTCTGCGTTATGCCTAGCCCTGGGTATGTTGTTTCTCCTACCACCTGTATAGGGTGGAGGCTTTTCCAAGGGAAGACCGGTTTCCTCCATGTTGTGGAATGGTCAACACACAGTAAGTGCTCCAATCAATATTTAGCTGTCCCAATACTTAGGTGTTCTGTGCTCCTTGGATTTCCTTTTTTTTTTTTTTTTTGAGACAAAGTCTCACTCTGTCGCCCAGGCTGGAGTGCAGTGGCGCGATCTCAGCTCACTGAAACCTTTGGGGTTCAAGCGATTCTCCTG